ATATTTTATAAATTCATTATATTGCTGAAACACTATGACGACAACATTGATATGATGAATATATTATTTGTGGTTTTCATAGAATTCGAACATATTTTTATGAACTATTCTGTTGATTGTTTTTAGTATGTGTGGTAGTATAATTTTAGCTAAGAACGTTACTAGAGATAGCCAACAAGTTTTTACTGTAATAACTATTACAGTGTTCAGGATCCTCTTATGTGACACTTTCATATTGATGTTCTGATAAACTTCTTTAAATATTTCATTTCACATATAAACGTATTATATATATCTTCGGAAGAAAGTGTTTACAATGGTATAACTCGCTTAGTTGGTACAACTGTAATGTATCTTTTTTTAAAATTAATTTTGTAGAACAATCATTTAAGCAATTAGTTAGGCAACTGAAAAGCATAATTTTTCATAAACTATATAAATTTTTTATTTTTCAAGATTTCGTATCGAACATGGTGTTATGCATATTCTCTAAACAAATGAATTTTTTTTTAGAATTGTCAACATCCTTTCCTTAATAAGCTTCATTCTTTTCTGTTCCTGTTCGAATATTCAAACGGTTTTTGTAAGGATATATTGTAACCATTTGGGATATCTACATATTAGGAAACGATGCTGTGTTTAGAGATTTCCGTACTCAAAGGAAGAGCACAAAAATAGAAGAAAAGTACAAAATGAATGTAGAAGTGAGATTAGTTACTGATTTTTTCTTTTTTTCCCTTTTCATTTAAATTTTTCATTGAACAATATTTAGAAAATAACTGAATTTATCTAATGACTTCTTAGGAATACATTAGTAGGTATATATGTAAGCAATATTTTGAAACAGAATATTTAAACTTAGTACACATTTATTTACAAAACTTCATATTATTTTTGAGAAATAATATAGTGTTTGTGTAGATAAATATATCCTGATATTACTAAAAACACTTCGGTTTCGAAAGGGGACTTTTTATTCGATTTTACTTGAAGAAGGTATTTGGATTAATTGATTCGCCAATGGATTTGTTTACAGTTCGTAAGATATTTAGAGAGCGCATCAAACTGCAATTATGCGAAGATGTATGTTTGCATATAATAAATTATAATGATATAATAATAGATTATTATTTTTTAGAAAGCACAAATGTTAAACAATAGTAGTCAGTGCAAGCAATATGGAAATAAAGTTTGGATAAAAGCTGGCAATAAAACCACTTCTTATATGCACTCCTCGGTAAATGTTCTTTTTCTACTCAATATGTTTTAAAAAAACCTAATATATATATTATGTATTTCCACCTGTCCATATATTGTTTCGTTTTTTATAAAACTTTTTTCGCAAATAATCAAATATTTTTTATATTGTAATAAAAAATGATAGCACGGTTTTTACTTCTTTGACGTGTCAATTTAACAGGTACAGTCGCCTATTCTTCTTTTTGATTATCTATTCTTCTTTAACTCCTATTGGAGCATAGGGCCTTAACAAAATATCTTTATAGCGCGTAGTTGTGAGTTAAGTGCTTAATTTTGCCCCAAGATTTTCCGGTTATTTCAATTTCTTTTAAAAATGTTCTCCTCCAGTTCTAGTCGAGGACTTAGTAGCAGATCTCAGAGGGATTCCTACGTAGTGTGTAGCTAATTCATTGCCATTTGCGATACCTAACAAAAGTTATCACAGGATCCATGTTGTATCTTTGGTAAAGTTCTTGATTAGTGATTACATCGGGCCACTATATCCTAAGAATGTGGCGTAGTCCACGATTGATAAAGCTTTTTAGCTAACTTATTATTGCGCCTGTGTAGAACCATATTTCGCACCCGTACATAGCGGATGTAGTACATTTGATTTCTATATGCGCAACTTAGTTTTGATGGATACAGTGAATGAGCACCATGTATTCTGCAGTTGTGCGAAAGCAGCCCAGGCTCTCCCGATCTGTGCCACAAAGTCTTTTTTGGCGCTGTCCCCTGCCAAAATCACACTGTCTAGGTATTTAAAAAAGTGGACATTCTCGATTCAATCTATATTAAGTTGGAAGTTTCTTTAATTTGCATGTCACAAAAGGGTACAGAGTTTTCTGAAAGATCTTCCAGCCTAGATTGCATGTCTGTTTGTTTTTCGACAGAAGCCATATATGTATCGTCAGTGTAATCGTTATCTTTAACTAATTCTGTGATGGTTAAAGGAATGCCACGATTTTTTCCCGTTAACACTAGAATTCATCGATTGCCATTATAAATATTTAGTAGCTTATTCCGTCAAACTTAAAATATGATAATATGATTTTTATTTTTGGGGGCATTCTGATTTAATTACGGATTAAGGTAAAGTTGCGTATTCTGACCAAGCTTTTTCATTTTTTTATATACATTGTAGTTGAATTCTCCAGATGTGGAATTCAAAGTTGGAAACCTTGTATAAAAACCACCAACAACAAATAGACGAACTGGTCATTTGACACGTCTACTAGTTTTTACCAGGTATTTATGTGAGAAGTGCAAAAACTGCATAGGTATATTAATTCCGTTAGATAGTGTGCATAGTTTTTATTAGTGAACAACTTCAAACCTTGATATAAATTCGATATCTAAACTACAATGTATTCATGGACAAATTTAGAACAAGCAACTTTACTTAATAAAGTCCTTCGCCAGATCGGGGTCTTCAGAAATTAGAATCATACTTTCTTTTTGTTATATTATATATTATAAATTTTATATAAGGAAGTAAGAGTTTTATCAAATTGAATATTTTTCAAAATGCGTAATTTTTTTTCATTTACTTAAGGCAGCTATTTTAGAATAGAGAGTTTCAATAAAGGAAGATAGTGGGTTAACTACAAGATACTTTATAAAATCAGTTTCATCTTCTTTTTGGTATGTAGTTCAATTTTGTTTAGTAGACTTTTTCAAAATGTTTTGAAATTATTTATTTCGTATCAAGCTTTAATTCAAATACCCTTCGTATATGTCTTTCTTTATATCCTGACCAACCCTAATATTTAAAATGTTTATGGTTTTTCCAACCCTCACGGAAAATTTTGAAAGTTATTATTTCTGCTCTGCTAACACTGTTTGCACAAACCCCTAATTTTTTGTTATCATAAAATCAACCCTTAAAATGTAAACTAAATTCAGTCAATAGATGTCGCTCCAGTTAGTAAGGGTTTTATTGATTATTTGCCAAATGTCAAAACGAAATGCCCAATGTTTTGGTTATTTTCGCAGAACTGCGCATGTCCACTTCTCACTTTCTGAATCCACAAAACACTTGAAACGATTCGACCAGAACAACGCAGATTTTCCACACCACAATTGTTTTTCCGTGTGACGTCGCAAGTACATAGACGGCATCTGAAAGTGAAAAATTTTAATAAGAAATTTGCAAATAAAAACTTAATTTAATGGAAACTGTTTTATCTAATTAATTGCAAATTAAGAAGCAGTCATATAAATAAACAAATAAATAATTGTTATTAAAGATTTATTTAAAGTTGTGTTATTACACAAAAAGTGAATAAACTGAGTAATTATTTTCAAGGACTTTTCATGTGCTTGAAGGCGAAAAGTGCGTCAAAATAATTGTATTTGGAGATATTTCAACCTAAAGTTTTGCATCTGGAAATCATGTCAAGTGCGTGAATTACGGCATTTTTCGCCATTTAACTTAAGCAATTATTTTTTTGCATAAATATTAAAGACATTTTTGAAAACTTTTGCTGCACAAATTGTCATAAAAACGGCGAAGACGAAAATTCAATATACTAAGGCCCGCCTACAAAGGGGGCAACTCAACTAAGAATTAATATACAAGATGGATGAATGTGAAAACCTCGTTATCAGTTTGGAAGCATACGAGGAGCTTGAAATAGAGCAACAAATCAATGATAACGACGTCGAAATCATAAATTTCACTGCTTTAGACGAAGAAGGCGAAATTATGGTAAATTAAATTAATTTTCTTTTGCTTATAATGCTTCGAACATTTTCCGAATTACCTAGCGAATTGCAGTTCAGTCGTTGTGTACCCGGAAAAGTCGCATGGGTGTACTTACATACAACTGAACGCATACATAAAATGGAATCCACTTACGCTGTGGATTATATTTGTTTAGAAATATATTCATATGTTAAACACTGAAAGGAAATCTTTATTGTTTTGTGGATTGAGTGCATCTTAGGTTGATTATTTGCATTTGATATTGCAATTTTTTTTTCCCTGTATAAAGATATGTAAATATTCCGGGCTCTTATTCCACTTTGGTAATATACGATTATATATTGCGGTGTTACTCGTATAGCGGTGTTGTGGTAGTACCATATGAGGTACATAGTACGTTCAATGTATGAATCATCAAACTTGCAACATCGCGTGCGCCTGTTGACGAAATTACGTTTTATTGCTCCGAAATCGTTGAAAGGCAGATTTTACTAAACACACATTTTATTACTTCGATGAATAAATATATAATAACGTACATTATATTACATTATATAGTTATATAGTATATATAGTTATGTCAGCAAATATACATTTCTCTATTGGGTATAGGTTAATGCTTTTGTTTACATAAGTGTACCGATTAGGAATATCGTCTTCTTATGTCTTTAATACTCTTAATGTTTAGGATATGAGTTTATGAGTTGAAGTGTTTAGAATATGAGGATATGAAGTCTTTAAGTTATGTTGTAATAGTTTTAAAAGTTTGTCTGTAAATGAAAATTGTTATATATGTCAAAAAGGTTTTAAATAATAACACAGTATTTACTTATTCAGTGAATAAAACTATCTTTAATCTTCAATGAATATATATAAACTAAAAAGTAAGAAAATTTTATTCAAAAAAAATGTAATTGAGATTAAAATAATTATACAAAAATAATTCTGCGTTCTATGGAAGAAGTCAAATAAACTTTGAAATGTCGGCGACATTTGTATAGAATATAACTTTATAAAATAAAACTTAAAAACCTATTGAAAAATTTTTATTTAGATTCAAACAAGCTTTTAACAACTTAAGTAATACTATAAAATAAGTAACCTCGCAACTATTGTAATTTAAAAACATGATTTATATGTGTTCCGAAATAAGATGCCGAAAAAATATAGAACTTATTAACGTAATAAATTGGTCAAACAATATTATATTAATATTTATAATATAATGTAAGATATGACATTATTCATTATACTATAATATTTGATATTATATTAACATTATATTATAATATTAATATTCTGTTTGGAAACTACTTAAGACTTTTTAGATTTTTTAATAATTTGAATAAATTTTTTATTTAATTTGTTCTATGAATAATCGTTTTTACAATCTCCTTGCTAATAAATTTATTATTGTAGAGTTTCAATACTTAAGACCTATTAATTTGAATTAACATAAGTACTTAGTCCATTTACATAATGGACTAAGTAGTTCTAAGTACATCTGACTTAAAAACGTTGAGTTAAATAACATACTAAACTAACGCTTAATTAAAGTTCAAACATTCCACTATGGATGCATACCTATACTTGATTTCGCCCTACTAAGTAGATTGAAGTGTTTCTATCAATCGAATTTTAATAAACAGGGAACAAAACAAAAAACCAAAACAAAATATATCGTAAAACCGGCTATAACTATTTATATACTACATAATTTGTTGTTGTTCAGTAGTGTTTCTTAACGAAATTGACTATAAAAGCTTAAATAGAACTAGAACTCTATTGTAGAAAAATAACCATGCTATTTAATGAATATTTTTCATATTTTAATTTGCGTTCTACTGCCGAATAATGAACGTGATATATCTTCCCCATTTTATTTCTATAAAAGGACGCATACGTAATTCGTATGTCAGTATACTATAATCTTTAAAATATGCATTTCTCCAAATAAAGATTTTTTCCATAAACGGTAATTTAATTTCTTCTAAAGACCTCCAAATAAAAATTTATAGTCTCCAAAAGTTTGCCTTAGATGTTTTCATCTCAGAATTCTATATAAGTACTTCAGTGAAATGGTAAAGATAAGTTATATTTAACAAATAATCTTTATAAGTACATACAAAAAAATATTACTTGTTTAATATTCCATCCGGTGCTTCATTTAAATTAAATAATACCACTGTATTTCTAATGATCTTAAAAGTTCAATGAATATATTTATAATTCCTTCAATTCTTAACATCAGTGATGAATGAAAAACTGCTATACGCAGTTCGTACCTCGACCTGCCTATTCGATTTCAATTGAATTATATAACTATTTTGTTAATTGACCCCTTATGTCAATCAAAACCAGTTTTCATCTCCTTAAATCATTATATCAGTGATGAATGCATAAACCATGACAATTAAGACAAACTTGCATTATTATAATGAAGATGTATACAATGGACTGAAATTTTCTGTTTCGAATGCAATTACTACAGTTATTATAAGCATCAGAATGTATAATAATAATGTATAATAAAGATAATGTATAATAAAGATAATGTATAATAATGTATAATAAAGATATTCTATCCTTTCTATAAGCCACATTCCGAAGATTCAAATAGTAATTCTGAGTCTCGCAAGTGATATCTGGAGAGTTTGTTGGGAGTTAGTTGTGACCTTGTTATACAGATGAACATATAGCTTAAAACCTTAAACTTATATTAAAAACAAACTTACACCCTTCTATATTTAATTTAAAAATAATCTGATATTAAAAAATAATATAACAAGTGTTAAATTCCTTACCAAAATTGATTCAACTTTCTTGAGGATAATATTAGGCTCATTAAGTCTTTATTTATATACAAACCAATATTTATTTTCACCTTCCGACAATAAAGTCAAATAACAGTGACATTTAATTCAAATCTGAGATTTGTTCACTCCTTGCAGGACTATCGTGGTGAACCTTTTTATTAACTCGTGTCAAATATAGAATTTTTTCTTACTAATATTTCGACAGTCAACTTATCGTACATGTACTATAGGCTCGTCATTAATGGAATTCGTTTTTGTAGTATTACTATTCTTAAGTTCTTCCTAAGCTCTTCCTTTGCTTTATTTATGTGAATGATGGAAAGTTGGTAGAATTGGTAACTGGTATCTGGAGTCAGATATTTGGAGTCAGATATTTGGAGTCAGATATTTGGGGATGACGAATCGGTTTAAACCATATATGCATATATATTCATACATATGAAATAAATCTGTAGTTAGCAAACATAAATAATAAATGTCCACTGTACTAAAATAGTTAAAAAGCGCTGCTATGGTTAAAAAATTTATCTTTTAAAATGAATTTAATCGCACTTATCTAATAGGTGTGGCAGCTAATCATTTTATTAGTATTATTTTTAAATAAAGGAAATATATTTCAGTTCTGTAGTTTAAAACTAAGCAATTAAAATTGATTTTGCTTTGCGCAGTGCATTGAACTTTCGATAAAATAAACTCCCTAAAACCTGTCTCAAAACTGCACTAAAAATAAAAATAAAAATTTAATACGTAATTAAGTTAATGCTCTAGCAAACATATTGCATTACAATAACAATTATAATAATTATAATTTTCTCCGTATTGCAGGGTCAAACGGAAAGTAAAAAAAGCAAAAAACATGGCGCAGGGAGCATTGAAACAAAGGGTACAGCGATGTCCTTTGGTTTTCGCAAAAAACTCAACACCACACCAAAAAAATTAAAAAAGCTTATCGAGGGTGACAGCAAGAAGAAGCACGATAAGTGCAATAACATAAGTGACGATGACGTCGGTAGAACAACAGGAGCTGTGATAGATACTGAAATAATTGTCACCAACGAGAATATACACGAAGATGATAACGGCAATTCAGGTAAGAAAGTATGAAATTAATATAGAAGTGTGATAATAAGGACACTCAAAAGACATTTAAATCCCTCCAAGAGAGTGTATAGAAGGAGTATATAGCAGTGCAATCCAACAGGTGCTTCAAAGACAATCAAAATTAATTATGATTTTTCAGTTTTCATGAATTATTATTTATTTTTCTGCTAAAGTTTAAATACTTGACATCTTAAATGGCATAATTTTTTAATATGAAAATTTATTTCACTATTGCACACCAGACACAATGCCCAAAGTATACTTTGAAAAGATGGGTGCAGCTGCGGCCGGTGGAAAGTCTGCACAAAAGTTTTCAACAAATCAAGGAGTGCCGGAACAGTCACAGACAGCAAATCGTCCAGGCGCAGGCAATCGTTTCGGTTATCGTGGCTGCAATGTGGCACGTCCCGCTTCCACTGGCATTACCGGTAGATATCGCAGCGATAGTCATGAAAATGTGGAGAACAATAATTGCACTGTAACTGAGGGTGGTCAGCAAAAGCCATTAGTGAGCAATCGTAAGTATTGAATGTCAAACTTTTATCTTTTAAACATGAAAGAAAGTTGGAAAATTGATGTGTACGAATTGAATTGAATTCATATCTAATTGTTAAAAAGATTTTTTTTTTTTGAATTAGAAAGAAATTCAATTGTATTTCCTTTAAAGTTTTATTATAGTTATATGTATAGTATATGGTTTATATTTGAGGTTAAGTGAAGCTATAAGAAAAATGTGAAAGGATGTTGACGTGTGAAATTGAATTGACCTTAACAAAATTAATTAAATGAATTACTGCTTTTAGTAAGAGTTTAGAAACTATTTCGTAAAAGGTTTTATTAATTATGATTTATTTTAAATTTAATTAAAATTGTTACTACGGTTATTGTTACAGTATCTTCAACTTAAGCCCAAATTATTTTTGTCGTATAAAAATTTTAGGAATTGAGAAAGGAATAGAGTATAGAAATATTCAAGCTCAATTTTTTTGTAGTGAAAAGGTCATCAATAATTAATAAAATTTCTCAATCACTGTGGTATATTGGATACACACCTCTCCTGTAACATGCATATTATTGTATATTGCTTTAGGATACAATAATACAGTTCACCATTTAACTTCATTTTCCGACACTTTACTGTATTTATAATATTATTCTATACGTCAAAAAGTATCCGGATTTTGTTGTTTGTTAACTACTCCTTAACTAATAGACCTTTTTCAAAAGTTTTTTTGTTGTTATATTGGTACACCTTTTTTTGACATATGGTACAAATTTGAGCGCCATCTGTAAATTAGTTTATTTACAGCAGCTGTTAATGTGAGACTACCTCAAGTGCATTTAGCGATTTTTTGATCAAACATGGCACCACTGTCATCGCTAAGGCACCATATTCGCCAGATCTGGATCCATGCGACTTTTTCTCTTTCCCGAAACTCAAATTGCCCCTTCGTGGTAAACGTTTTGATTCGATTGAATCGGTAAAAAAGAATTCACCGAAGGAACTAAAAACCATACCTGCACGACCTACGAAAAGTGTATGGAAGATTGGGTTAAGCGTTGGCGTTTGTGTATCGCTTCAGAAGGAGCATATTTTGAAGGAGATAAAATAAATTTGGAATAAAATTTAAATTTGTGGATAACAGAAGTGATACCTACTACTTTTTGAGCAGAAGGTATCACTTACTGGAATAACACATCCATGGAATAAATATAGTTTGCCATTTCTTAATGCTTTTAGCTGAAAATCTATAAGATGATATGATGAAAAAGAATCAACATATAGCTTGTCAAATAGAATACTGTTATTTAAGCAGCAAACCAGTGCAGTCTTATCTTAGTATTCGATTTGTCGTATCAAAACACTCAGCACGGATCCTAATTTGTAACATAAGAGTATCGTGTTAAAAAATTGTCGAAGCAACATATAGTCCATCAATGCTTTTCATAATCTTTTCATATATTTTTCAACTAATATTAGGTATCCATAGAGTAAAGTCTCAGCCATACCACATCAAAATATTTATCACAGATTATAGTGTGGTCTAGATTAGATTAGATTTGACAGATCTTTAAGTGGTCTAGATTAGAAAAAGTCGATACTATTATTATCTAAGCGAAAAATTCTACGAAACTGTATGTTTGTTATTTTTAACAGCTTTGTCTTTGGTTGCTTACTTT